GAATAGTATTCATTCTATTATAATTTTTGCCATGACTGTTTAGCTGACCCGGTCCGCTTACATAATTCAGATCTGTGTTCTATTATGCCGGCAACGCGGACCAGGTCAGCTAGTATATATATATATATATATATATATATATATAGGTTAAGTCATTTTATCGTAACTAGTTCTTAGAATATATTTTTAATTAAATAAATTTAGTGTCTTACAAACGCTCATCAAAGATAGACGTGGTGTTTATGAAATTACTGATCCCGGTTTACATTTCGCATTCTTTTTTCTTCGACATACATAAACGGACCTTTATTGAATTCTCTGATTGTTGATTGTTCCAACAAGGGTATAGTACATCAATAATTTTTATATCTTACTTAGACCAATTAATTTCAAGTCTAAAACACAGATTGCTTGAAAAAAAGCAAGGGTATAGTTGTTTAATGTAGTGTTATCTAAAATTGTAAATTGCAAACACAATGCTTGCGACGAAATCATAACACAACAAAAGTATTTTAATAATTTCAAGCGTGGGGTGAAAACAGAGATTCTGGAAGAAAACTGTGTTTGTAATAAACATTATATTTAATAGTTTAAAAACAAAGCTATAACTACTCTTAGTTGTAAAACTTATTGGGTGTTCAATAAAAATTAGTTACCCATTCGAAATATTCAGGCTTAAAAATTTGTTCTGCCAAAAAATATATATATATATCAACGAAAAGGAGCATACATGTAGTACAGGAAAGAAACCAAGACTACTTGTTTCTGCGAGGGCATTGCCCATACGAGGCCGAACATACAGTTGTATAAGTGAAGATATATAGTACTTCAATTGTTTTATGAACTGAAATTTCTTAAGACAATTTGTGTCGCAAAATCGTCGTCTTAAGATGTTCTCATTTCATTTCATTTATTTACCTTACAAAGAAATATAAGTATATATATCTATCTACATATACCCTAACATAATACAAATTCAATGATTAATTCAAACTTAACAAATAACATATTAAACCTAATAATTTATCTTAATAATTCACGAGAAGCTCAAACCCTACACCTCGATTCACCATCACCAACTAAACAATAGTCTAGTAGAGCAGTGGAAAAGTGTAGCAGAAACGAGCTAAAAATAAGAGAGAACTATTTTATTACTCACAAAACAGAGTATAAATAGTAACTCATATTATAACACCCTACAAATAAAATTAAGAAGATAATATAGTGGCTCCCCAGCCCAACAAAAAGAAAAACCCATAATAAACCGACGCAACTACTACAAAAACATAGCCTTCATATTTAGGCGAAGGTATTCAATTACTTTAACCCTAAACAGATAATTGGTATGGGCAAAGTACATAAGAAGATAATATAGTGGCTCCCCAGCCCAACAAAAAGAAAAACCCATAATAAACCGACGCAACTACTACAAACACATAGCCTACATATTTAGGCGAAGGTATTCAATTACTTTAACCCTAAACAGATAATTAGTATGGGCAAAAGTACGTAAGGCCAAAGGAAGCTGATTCCACAATCTCACCGCCCTATCCACAAATTATCTCTCACCAATGGAGGACGAAAACCTTGGACACAACAATTGAGGATTTCGAGATGATCTACAAAAAAACAAAGTTGTCTCGAAGAGGCGAGTCAAAATTGCACATAACACTGTAATGAAATTGAAGAATACGAAGATCAACGTAGCTGCTAAATGGCAATCCCAGGAGATCATTAACAAAACAAGAAACATGATCACCACGACGCAAGCCATACACATAACGAACAATCGAATTTACCGCCCTACGGATACGTTGCATTTGAGAAGAAGTAGTGCCGGAGACAAAGCAAGGAATCAATGTGTCTCTTAAAGTCCAACTTCCGATCAATTATAATACCAAGACATTTCATTTCATCAACCAATTTCACTAACACAGAACCCACAGTAATATTAAGAGAACCACCATTACCATGATCATTGAACAGCATAGCTTTAGTTTTATTCCAATTAATCATAAGGCCATTTAGCGAAATCCACGACGAAAGAGACAAAACAATAGAATTAACCAACCCTTCCAACCCAGCAATATCAGCCTCTCTGAAGAAAACATGAATATCATCTGCATACAAAAACAGACAACACCTGTCATCAACAACTGAGTGCACAATGTCATTAATGAACATAATAAATAACAACGGTCCCAGTACAGAACCTTGCGGGACTCCACATTGGACACTACAAACTTCAGACGAAACACCCAAATGAACAACAAACTGAGACCTACCTTCCAAATATGAAGCCATTAAACGACACGCAGAAGATGAAAAACCAAACTTAAACCTCAGCTTGTCAAGTAAAAGGGAATGGTTGATCGAATCAAAAGCCTTTGACAAGTCAAGGCCCAATAATAACCCAACATCAGATGAATTAAATACATCTCTAATCATGTCAGTAAGATATAATAAGTGTGTGGTCGTACTACATCGTCGTCGAAAACCAAACTGAGAACTACTCAATAGCCTACGATCATCAAGGAAGTCAACAATCGCTTCTTTAATAATATGCTCAACGACTTTTGACATAGCAGGTAGAATGCTAATGGGACGCAGATTCGACAAAACAAATGATTCACCAGTTTTCGGCACAGGAACAATTCGTGCAACCTTCCACGCCCGAGGAAAAGTAGATGTCATAAAAATTGAGTTAGCAAAATGCAGGAATTGTATGGAAATATAAGTTTAAAAAACTTTACTGGCACGCCATCAACCCCCACAGCTCCCGACTTAACTTTATTTAATGACCTTACAACATCAGTATAAAATATATACATAACCCTCACTATGAAGAGACTGACCACGCTCACCCGCAAAACCAGGATTCCCACTGGAAAAATAATGATTAGCAGCATTGACAACAATTGGTGGAGCTTCATTACCACTACCCAAAACACCAAACGACTTTAGAGATTTCCACAGCTGATTATTATTCATACGACCAAAGAAATCATTATAGTACTTACGCCTCTCATTCCTCATCACAGCCTTACAACGATTCCTATACATACAATATATTATTCTATTACCCTCCATAGGTCGCTTGCGCCACTCAAAGTACGCAAGATCTCTAAACATCCGTGCCGATTTCACCACATCAGATTCCAACCAAGCATCATTCCTGGGGTTGACCTTACGAACAGAAACAGGAACGAAAGACAATAGCGCGTTAAACAACAAATCAAATAGTGAAAGTTGACAATTCACATCAGAAGTGGAATATTAGGGGTTGAAGTCAAAATCGAATATGAAATTTAAAATGCCCAACCAATCCGCTCGGCCAAAGTTACGATACTCAATAAATTTCTCCTCTGAAAATACAGGCAGGTTAAGCAAACCAAAAACAAAGGCATGGTGTGATATACCAGGACATCGACCCTGAGACGAGAAACCCAAGGACAAATTATCACTAGTAAGGCAAAAATCAATTAACGAGGTAGAGTTATGGGCCAAATCATAATGGGTAGGTTTCATGTTATGCACAATAGTTAGCCCCAATGATCTGCGTAATCCTCTCATCGAAACAGAGTTCGATACGGGACTCCAATAGACAATTCTCCATAACTTTTTTTAGGGTTACCTTCCCTCTTTTAACAAATTGGCGGATAAGGGAATCTCTTGTCTGAATAGAATTAAACTTCACCAAAACCGCTCTACGTTCAGATATGTAACAGCACTGCTGCATGTCGCCATGAGATAGTTGCGACCCATACAAATTAGCAACTTTAACAACAAAGCTCCTGAGGTCTTTAATATTTTCCGGCAAACCTCTTATAATGATATCAGCTCTGTTAAGCCTTCGCTGGAGCACATTGTTAAAAGACTCAAGCTCAGAAATCCTATCAGCAAGTTTCTTTTCGGCTAACAAAGCCGTACTTTTAACTTCAGAGACTGTCATCTTCAACTCAACTACGGCCTTTTTAAGCTCAACCACATCACGCTTTACCTCAGATATTTGTGCATTATAAAGATCAAACAGAGCATCAGTTTTGGTACGGAATTCAGACAGACATCTAGCCATATACGTGTCCATTTGTTGTTTCATAGACAAAATCAAGTTATCCTGCAGCTCTCGCAGTGCATCAGAATTCCCAACAACATCACACGCAGCAACACTAACTGTCCCATCACCACCATTCAAAGAAGCATCAGCTGTGGCACCAACCCTAGATGCATCAACTGCAGTGTTCGCTTTTGTTCCGCGATCAACCACACCAGCGTCACCACTACCACCAGCAGCCCGAACACAGCACACACAAGTGTATCTGAGTTGCTTATTTATTTTAGCCTCAGCCTAAAAAATGCCAACGCAATCCAAATGGAAAAAATTTGCACAGCCTTTGCAACCAATTTTATATTTGGATTTGGCAATATGATCCTTACAAACATTACAGGTCAATAGCGACGGCATTTTCAGGATTACCTTAGCAGATGCAAATGAATAAACAAAAGAGCGCCAAACGAAAATGCACAGCAACAGGTTAAAAAGGTGAGAAGAAAAACCAACTCCACCAAAAGCCACAGCTCCAGACCTTCAAACACCAATATCCACAAGTAATAGTCCAGTCAATTTGTAAAAATCTCCAATTTTAAATATTTAATTATTTTCTTGACAGAGCTCAAATTTAATGCTTGTTCATTGCAGGGATCTATAGTTCGTTTGTTACCGTGCTAGCTTTTCGCATCAGAAAAACCGGAATTTTTTCGCACTTTTGTTTTTATTTTTAATTTCTCAAAGATTAACAATAGCAAAGCTATGCGCGAACATAGGCGAACGTCACATTTATTATTATTATTTTTTTTGTAATGTATTATATTTTTATAGCATCTTCATAAATTTCTAATAGAGCATTCATTCATTAATATTATGTTTGTCACTTTATAATAATATTGCAATCTGGCAATAAGTTTTGAAATTAATATTCCTTTTAATAATTTATTTCTAGGTTATTCATGGTAAAGTGGAAGATTTTGTGTTGCCTCCAACAGCGGAAAAAGTGGATATAATTGTTTCAGAATGGATGGGATTTTACCTATTACATGAAGGCATGCTGGATTCTGTAATATTCGCACGGGATAACTTTTTAAAACCGCATGGCCATATGTTCCCTTCTGAAGCAACAATATATGTAGCACCATGCTCTGTCCCTTCCCGTTTTGATGACTGGAATAATGTTGACGACGTTCGCATGAACTCGTTTGGGGAAATGTTGAGACGACAAAAATCTAGTAAACCAGAAATAATAAATATGCCACCCCAGAACCTACTACACAATGGGGTTGCAATGTTTTGGATGAACCTAAACGAAATCCGAAGCGAAGAGTTGGAGTATATAACATTCCAAGAAGTTATCCCTATACAACATCAAGGAAAACATCAAGGGTTTTGCATATGGTTTGACTGTAGATTCCCGGGAGAAAGCTATGAAAATGCAATAGTTTTGTCTACTGGACCTGCTGCACCAGGGACACATTGGAAGCAATGCGTAGTAGTTCTTCCCGATACTGTATGCGAAGAATTAGAAGAAAATTCACCCATCGCTTTCAAGATATCTATGATTCGTCGAAATGATGATAAACGCAAATATAATTTAGAAGTAGAGCTAATTGATTCAAATGAAATAGAACATCCAGTGCCTTGCGACTGTCACTTAACAAAGTGTATATTAGTAAAAACTCATCTTCAAAATATGGATATTTCTTAAACAAGTATAGTTTGTAATAAAAAATGTTGTTAATCAGGTCTCAGCTATCGAAGAGGTAAGGGTTAATGGTACTAAATCAAGAATCTAATTCATGAATGTTATCTGGACACCAAGAGGACTGGGAGCAATAAAGAGCTAGCTTCAGACGGTTGGGTCTTAGGGTCCCCTTTTCATCACAAACCCCTCACTGTACATCAAAAATATTAATGGAAGAAATAATTTACTAGACATCATTATTGCTTTGCCTTAAAAGGGAAAGCGACAAAAATGTTGAAAGACAATAATAAAATATCTATCGTTGATTTCAGTTTAAAAAAATAACATTTGATTCCTGATGGTTTTGATGCAATTGTAAAGCAAAAGTGGTGCTAAAGTTTACAATTCTATACAACATATCGAAAACAATCGGCCCTATTATGGTTGTCGTCGGCGTCGCAAAATGAAGTCGAGGCGACAATAATAAAATATCTATCGTTGATTTCAGTTTAAAAAAATAACATTTGATTCCTGATGGTTTTGATGCAATTGTAAAGCAAAAGTGGTGCTAAAGTTTACAATTCCATACAACATATCGAAAACAATCGGCCCTATTATGGTTGTCGTCGGCGTCGCAAAATGAAGTCGAGGCGACAATAATGCTATTAGGTTTGTCGTTTTTTTGTCGTTAGCGACAAATGATTGCTATTATAATTGTCGATACAACAGTCGACGTGAAGTCGATTTTTAAGAAAATCTGTCGCCATAAAAAATTGTGTCGACATTGTATTTTGTAGTCGACGTTGATATTCTAAGCATTTTGTATTTAATATTTGACCTGGAAAATAACAACATCAAAACAATTTGAAATGTTGGTTTCCGAATTGGAAAAAACATGTTTGGCTAGGGGGTTTCCCAAAAGTTAATTTTCCAGCTAATTTTAAATCAGATTGGAATCCATTGCTACAAAATAATATGTAAACGGGCCACCGATTAGAGACTGGCAAAAAACAAATGAGTCCTTCGCGAATGTAATGCAGTTTCAAAAGCTACTGAATCCACTAGGTCGTGCACTTGGAGTAAAAAATACGGAAAACATAATTGTAACAGACGTTATAGATCATGAAAATGAGCCAGTGGACAATGCTGATGACGAGACTGATGTAACTACTTTTCTGCCTTAGCACTCGCCGCTGCACTACTAATACACTCTCCACTTCACCCTCACTTGAACTTAAGATATGTAACACATTTATAATATCCATTTTTTCACTATATTTTTCCGAAAGAGGCGAAATTAGAATTCAAAACACAAACAAATTTTTATCTTATTTTGGCAATGACAAGGGAGTGTTGCCAACGCTTTTTAATTGTTGCCAACTTTTATTTTAAACTGTCGATGTCGCTTCCATGCCTTACCGTAACACTATTTTTGAATCGAAGCGACGGTGAGGGCGTCTTGCACATAAAGTCGACGACGACTATAGAAACGACAACCGTAATTGGCCCGAATATGTGAAACTTTAACGGTTATTCTTCTGCATAAATATTTTAAATTATTTGGTATGCATTTTTACTCATCACATTCACCCTTATTATGGTTGGCGTTGTCGTAGGCGTTCAAGTGTCGTAGACGTAGTCGTAGGCGTTGTCGTAAATAAAAATTTTTGGTATTATGTACAATTTTCGACTACGTTTTTTTTTGTAATAGATGTAAAAAAAGCAGGGTGCTCTGGAATAATAAGCAATTGTAGAGCTACCCGGTTAAAAGAAATAAATGCGTCAGTGGAAATAGTTGAAGTAAAACGATCATTTGTTTAATTAAATATTGAAATATGTTAAGTGTTGGCAATTTTTTATCTGAGGATGAATATGAGTATATTCAAAATGATTAAAACGTGAGGCGAAAAATATTGCGGCAAGAGTCTAACATATTTTCCATAACTGATTCCCAGTAAGTAAAATGTAAAATGAGGAAGAAGCTAAAATAAATATTTTTCTCTAGATTTGTTAGTTTCTTCAGGCTTAGTAAGGATGCATTTAAATATGTTTTGGGTCAAATCACTCCAGACCTCCGTAACCGGGTTAAATCTACGAGAGTCCCAAATACACTAAAACTAGCCGCAACAATTCGAATACTGGCTGAAGGAAGTTATCAAAAGGGTGCTGGGAACGATTTCAATGTCGCAATGTGTTCCGCGAGTGCATAGAAGTATTGCATAATAAGGTGTGTCCAAATTGGATCTCTTTTCCCACCACAGAAGAAGAGAAATATGAAATTAAGGAACATTTTTTGAAAAATACTGGATTTCCTGGTGTGATTGGATGTATTGATGGAACGCACATAAAAATTGTTGCGCCAAGAATGGAAGAGAGATTCAAATACTTGAACCGGACAGGCTTCTACAGTCTCAACGTAACGGTGGTATGTTGCATAACTTATAAATAATGCAAATAGCTTTACTCTCTGTATTATAGGTGTGTGATCATAAATTAAGAATTAGATATATATCATCACACCATCATGGATCCGTTCACGACTCGTTGGTTTGGAATACAAGTGATTTGAAACAACGCATGAAAGAAAACTTTGACAATGGCGAAAGAAATACATGGATATTAGGTACATATATTAAATAAAATAGTTATGACTTTTATCAAGTTCGTTGTTTTAGGTGACGCAGGATATCCATTGGAAAAATTTTAATTACGCCATTTAGATCAGCTGACAAAGGCTCGCCAGAGTGTAGATTCAACAAAATACATTCAAAAACAAGAAATATAGTTAAACGAGCAATTGGGGTGTTGAAGAACAGATTTCGTTGTATATTAGGAGACAATTGCATTACACCCCTGATATATGTGGAAAAGTAACAGCAGTTTGTGCAGCATTACACAATATTTGCATACATTTCAAAATTGAAATACCGATAGTTACCGCAAACCCCTACTTCATGACAGATTCAAATGATGTTGAAATGAACGACGATTTGAATGCATTAGACATAAGATCATCAATAATGCTATCTTTAAATAATTAATTCATTTCATTATTAATTATCTTATAAAAAGTAAAATTCATTTTTAATATTTAAATATAAAAGCTATGCTTTAAACTGAAATCCACTCCTTATTTCTTCTAATTCCAGACGTCTCTTTTCAATTTCAATTTCATCTTTCCTACATCGCAATAACTCCTTTCTGAATTCCGCCTTATTTTTATATTCTTCTTTAAGAAGTTTTAATTTTTCTTCCTTTAACTTATAACTAATTTTTCTTTGTTTTAACAACTCTTCATTCAGTTTGTAGTTTTTGCGTTGGTACCTCTCAATATCATTTAATGATCGTTTAACATCATTATATAATTCTGTTTGCACCTTCAGCTGCTCTTCAAGAAGTTCATATTTGTGGTCACTTTTCTTTTGTCTTTTTGAAGAAGTCGTTGCAACCTCTTCCTGAAGTTCATTTTGATTCGGGTTATTTGTGCTTACAGAGGGAAGCGTACAGACATCTTGGATGACAACAACCTGCTTCTGTTGCGTATTTCTGTGAAATCTGTTTACGCTTGGAGGAGTCAGTATGCAGGGATTGTGGTTTTCTTTGTCTTCGCCAATTTCAAACCCTTCAAACAGTTTCTCCTCAGTCTCCAGTTCACCAAGTATTGGACGCTGTTGAATTCCAATTGCTTGGTTCCCTGCATTTACAATTGTCTCCAATTGTAACAGGCGTGATGCTGCTTCCTCCGTTTCGCTTAAATTGAACTGCTTGAAGGGCCCTCCACCTGTAGCACGACATTCTGCCTTGTTATGAACAAGCTTCTTCCTCAATTTAAATTTGTAGTCGGCCCAAACTTTGATCCAGGCTTCGCCAGTTCGAACCGGCGGTCCTAAGATATTGAGTTTTTCACCAATTTTGTTCCATTCTTCCTTAATGTTAATTTTTTTCAAGCCACTGCTGTAACCTCTAGCCAAATTTGGATTCCTTTGCAAAATCTGGATCATTTCATCAAATTGTTTTTTCGTTGTGAATTTAAATCTAGAAAAATAGAAATGTTAATAGATTTACATACATATATTTTTGTAATGTTGATACATACTTCTTATTCAAATCCATTTTGTATATAATTTATTCTTTTGTAAACTCAATTTGGGAAAACTTGTGTGTTGTCGGCAACAAAATCTCTAACGACTAATTTTGCAGCATTTGTCGAATTAGAACGCGTCTTGTGGTACGAAAATGGTAACAGAATTTCATACAGAGTTGTAATTTCTCGCATACGACACACAAAATACCAATTAGTCGTTACGACGCGTCAATTTGCAATTTTCGATACGACTACGCCAGCCATAATAAGGGTGATTAATTTTTCGGGTAGTAAAGCAAAGACCCCAAGAACCGTTTGTGGTGTAAGTGGAGGAAAAACATTTTACAGTAAATATGCAACACCAAAATGTAAGTGTTCTTATGTAAAACTTATTACTGTTACTTCAACTTGTGCTGTGATAAATTAATAGGCAGCTTAAAACTGTTTAGCTGAAAAATTTGAGGTTTTGTATATTCAGAAATTGGGTATGGCCCAAAATATGGTTTTCCATGAGTTATTTAGTGTATAACAGTCAATTACGCACATCCCCTTAGCGGCAGGTGTGTCCTAAATCAATCGGCCCATATATTGTATTGATATTGTAACTTTCTTGTATTTGATATTTGACCATGAAAATAAAAACAACAAAACAATTTGAAATGTGGGTTTCCGAATTGGAAAAAACCATGTTTAGCAAAAGGGTTTACCAAAGGTCATTTCCAGCTAATTTTAAATCAGATTGAAATCCATCGCTACAAAATTAAATGTAAACGGGTCACCGATTAGAGACGGGCAAAAAGTATGTTAAAATTAAAATTATTTTTGTATGTTTTTATTAGTTAGTTTTCTAAAGTCCTTCTAGGTGTAGAAAGATTTAAAATGTAAAACTAAAAAACAATTGTGCACAATAAGGGTGAAGCCAGCAGCACTGGAGGTGGTATTTTTAAGCAAATGATTTTGTCGCTTTGGGAGGAGTCCTTCGCGAATGTAATGCAGTTTCAAAAGTTACTGAATCCACCAGGTCGTGCACTTGGAGAAAAAAATACGGGAAAACTTAATTGTAACAGACGTTATAGATCATGAAAATAAGCCAGTGGACAATGCTGATGACGAGACTGATGTAGCTACTATCCAAGCTTCTCGATCGCCCAGAAAAAAACAATGATAAAAAGTCATCAATGAAAGAAGGAACTATTGAACTCTTGAAAGAGCGTTATAAACTTTTGGAACCACACAATCAAGAGCAAAGCAAATATGTTTG